GACTTTTGAGTCGACTCAAAACGAGGTGACTTTTGAGTCGACTCAAAACGAGGTGACTTTTGAGTCGACTCAAAACGAGGTGACTTTTGAGTCGACTCAAAACGAGGTGACTTTTGAGTCGACTCAAAACGAGGTGACTTTTGAGTCGACTCAAAACGAGGTGACTTTTGAGTCGACTCAAAACGAGGTGACTTTTGAGTCGACTCAAAACGAGGTGACTTTTGAGTCGACTCAAAACGAGGTGACTTTTGAGTCGACTCAAAACGAGGTGACTTTTGAGTCGACTCAAAACGAGGTGACTTTTGAGTCGACTCAAAACGAGGTGACTTTTGAGTCGACTCAAAACGAGGTGACTTTTGAGTCGACTCAAAACGAGGTGACTTTTGAGTCGACTCAAAACGAGGTGACTTTTGAGTCGACTCAAAACGAGGTGACTTTTGAGTCGACTCAAAACGAGGTGACTTTTGAGTCGACTCAAAACGAGGTGACTTTTGAGTCGACTCAAAACGAGGTGACTTTTGAGTCGACTCAAAACGAGGTGACTTTTGAGTCGACTCAAAACGAGGTGACTTTTGAGTCGACTCAAAACGAGGTGACTTTTGAGTCGACTCAAAACGAGGTGACTTTTGAGTCGACTCAAAACGAGGTGACTTTTGAGTCGACTCAAAACGAGGTGACTTTTGAGTCGACTCAAAACGAGGTGACTTTTGAGTCGACTCAAAACGAGGTGACTTTTGAGTCGACTCAAAACGAGGTGACTTTTGAGTCGACTCAAAACGAGGTGACTTTTGAGTCGACTCAAAACGAGGTGACTTTTGAGTCGACTCAAAACGAGGTGACTTTTGAGTCGACTCAAAACGAGGTGACTTTTGAGTCGACTCAAAACGAGGTGACTTTTGAGTCGACTCAAAACGAGGTGACTTTTGAGTCGACTCAAAACGAGGTGACTTTTGAGTCGACTCAAAACGAGGTGACTTTTGAGTCGACTCAAAACGAGGTGACTTTTGAGTCGACTCAAAACGAGGTGACTTTTGAGTCGACTCAAAACGAGGTGACTTTTGAGTCGACTCAAAACGAGGTGACTTTTGAGTCGACTCAAAACGAGGTGACTTTTGAGTCGACTCAAAACGAGGTGACTTTTGAGTCGACTCAAAACGAGGTGACTTTTGAGTCGACTCAAAACGAGGTGACTTTTGAGTCGACTCAAAACGAGGTGACTTTTGAGTCGACTCAAAACGAGGTGACTTTTGAGTCGACTCAAAACGAGGTGACTTTTGAGTCGACTCAAAACGAGGTGACTTTTGAGTCGACTCAAAACGAGGTGACTTTTGAGTCGACTCAAAACGAGGTGACTTTTGAGTCGACTCAAAACGAGGTGACTTTTGAGTCGACTCAAAACGAGGTGACTTTTGAGTCGACTCAAAACGAGGTGACTTTTGAGTCGACTCAAAACGAGGTGACTTTTGAGTCGACTCAAAACGAGGTGACTTTTGAGTCGACTCAAAACGAGGTGACTTTTGAGTCGACTCAAAACGAGGTGACTTTTGAGTCGACTCAAAACGAGGTGACTTTTGAGTCGACTCAAAACGAGGTGACTTTTGAGTCGACTCAAAACGAGGTGACTTTTGAGTCGACTCAAAACGAGGTGACTTTTGAGTCGACTCAAAACGAGGTGACTTTTGAGTCGACTCAAAACGAGGTGACTTTTGAGTCGACTCAAAACGAGGTGACTTTTGAGTCGACTCAAAACGAGGTGACTTTTGAGTCGACTCAAAACGAGGTGACTTTTGAGTCGACTCAAAACGAGGTGACTTTTGAGTCGACTCAAAACGAGGTGACTTTTGAGTCGACTCAAAACGAGGTGACTTTTGAGTCGACTCAAAACGAGGTGACTTTTGAGTCGACTCAAAACGAGGTGACTTTTGAGTCGACTCAAAACGAGGTGACTTTTGAGTCGACTCAAAACGAGGTGACTTTTGAGTCGACTCAAAACGAGGTGACTTTTGAGTCGACTCAAAACGAGGTGACTTTTGAGTCGACTCAAAACGAGGTGACTTTTGAGTCGACTCAAAACGAGGTGACTTTTGAGTCGACTCAAAACGAGGTGCCTTTTGAGTCGACTCAAAAGTCTTCTCCTCCCACGCCTCTGCCTCAGTGCTCATGCTTGTTGCCGTGTCCTGCCTCCTCCTCACTTGAGCATGATTTAGCAAAGCGATGCGGCGTACATTTGGGTCCCAGGGCATCGAGCCACGAGCTGATGCTCATCTGATGCCGCGTGAGGGGGAAGAGCGCGAGGGGGAGAGTGTGAGGGGCGGGGGAGTGCAGAGTTGTTGTGTGTCTATGCAGTTTTAGAAGAGAAAACAAAAGAGGGGGTGGCGTACATGTATGTAGGCCCCAGGGCGGCGAGCTACAAGCGGATGCTCATTTCATGCCACGTGAGGGGGAAGGGAAGAGCGCAAGTCGGGGCGAGTAAAGAGTGTGTGTCAAAGAAACTTCTGGATAGAAGGAGGAATTGACATACATTTGGGTCCCAGGGCGGCGAGTTACAAGCTGATGTAGCTCATTTGATGCCACGTGAGGGGGAAGAGTGAGAGGCGGAGAGAGTGAGGCAGGTGATTATAGAGAGTGTGCCTAAGTCGCACTTGGATAGAAAGAGGAACGTGACATACGTTTGGGTCCCAGGGCAGCGAGCTGGGAGCTGATGCTCATCTGATGCCACGTGAGGGGGAAGAGGGCCAGGCGGAGAGCGAGGGTGGAGCCAATCAGCGTGAGCCACCTGGCATGTCAGAGAGAAATTGTGGCGGGTGTGTGCACGAGCAAAGAAGAAAAGAGAACATACAAGTACATAACGGACAATGTGCAACGTTAAAAAGCCATGGCATTACTGAAGAAAAGACGGTCGATTCATGCGTAGAAAAGAACGAGCATTGTCAGGTAATCAGGTGAGTTTTGAAACTTCCAACTCAGAAGCGAACACTGTCAGGCAATGCGAGTCTCACCAGGGGGCTCCTGTGGTGGCTTGTATCGAGGACACCATTTGAGTCACAGCGTCTACAGGCACACCCAGCCACGCCCAGCCACCCAACCACCCTGCTGCCCCCGCTGCTGCTCCCACTGCTCCTGTTGCGTCTCCCCCCCTCCCTGCGCCTACTGCTGCTGCAGCGTCTAACAAACCATCCGAATCTGAACCTGAGTCCCCTTCGTGTGCTTCGTCTCCCCTCCACTGAACCCATTCTTGAGACCCTTTAAAGCCTGACTCTCGCTCCTGTGGTTCTGTGTCGCGGTCCCAGGTGTTAAGAGCGGTGACACTGTGGTTGCCAGCTGCTTCTGATCCATTATAGGCGGTTTCGTTACGGGACGACGATCTGTTATCAGATGCTTCGATTTGGAGCGGCAGCAATGTGTCACTTGCGAATCCTCGCGCATTTAGAAGGTAGCTGCGTGGGGGATAGTTGCTTACTAATTGGGAGTTGTGTAAGAGGTGACTGCTGAAGCGTAACCGTAGGTGTGCTTGGCTTAACAGGGGTTGGCTCGACGGTGATTGGGTGAAAATGGTTCGGCTGGACAGTGATTGGTTCTCAGCAGATCCAATGAACGGCGGCGATGGCCTGATGACTGATGGGCTTGGCAGGGGAGTATCAATGGCATTTTGACACGTCACTGATCGGGCCGGTAATAATTGGCTGGAGGTTGGGACAGGAGAATCGATGAATGGTGCTGCTGCTGATGTGTCAAATGGCCGGTTGGGTAAGGGAAAGACGGAGGGCCAATGATAGGCAGACACGGGAGAGGAGGATTTGGCCGAGGAGGTCCGAGAAAAGGAAGGTTTGGGAGAGGAGGGTCGAGGAGAGGAGGGAGAGGAGGGAGAGGAGAAGTGAGAAGAACGAGGGGAGGCGGAGGAGGATGAGGCGGAGGAGGGTGAGTGAGAGATTAAAGCTGGCAGGAGGCGGGAGTGGAGAAGGGAACGGCGGCGAAGGGCGGAGAGACGGCGCAGGAGAAGCGGTGACGGCATTGGATTCGGGGTGTTCGAATCTGTAATGACTCGTTTGGGTGAGTCTTCCTGCCACTGAAGCCGCGTCTTTCGGATTCACAGCGCTGGCCGAGTTTAGCACTAGAGCTGTCGAGGCGCGTCAAGTCCGCGAGTTGAAACGTGGAGAGCTGAGGTGAATCGGTGAAAGCGAGCGACACGCGGAAATGAGAATGACGGCTGCGAGGTGAAGCGACGCGAGGTTTGGGAAGTGAAATGTAACGGGGGGTGCTCCCTGGAAATCAGCCTCGGACTGTGATTATTTCGATGGTGATCTTTCCGCGACAGGAACAGGGCTTGGTCCAAGTCGCCGCCTACTAATTCCTGCTCGGAACTGAGTCCCTGTGAAATATCGCTTGCTGGAGCAGCAGCAGCAGCAGCACCCGCGAGTGAACGCGTAGCTCGAGGACGCATTCTCTCCAAGTCTCATGTCCTACCAATTTCGGATCGGTCTGAAACAAAGATGCACGAGATTTCGCGTCAAGGGTAAAACGTCAGTCTCGTACGACACCATTTTCAAATTTGGGCCGACAAGATCTGTTTCGAGAGCACCTTCTCAAAAAGAACATGCTGTCAACTTGATGTTTTCTGTACATCAGGATGTATACGCCATTTCATTGAAGTGTATCAAATTCGGCTCGAGGGCTTATTGCGAAGCTGGTTATTCGAGGCTTCTAGAACCCTATTCCCTGTGTTCTAGATTCTATAGATTCTAGAACCTAGCCTAGAACCTCTCTTCATGAGGCTTCTCGAGGCATTCCGAACCACCGTAACTCTTACGAGAGAGGCCTATAAAGTCAGTTCGATCATCTGTTCCAGGTCTTATTATAGAATCCTTGTCACGTAAATCCTACGTAATTTCGGCAACAATTAGCAGGCCCACTACTACTGCGCAGACTTTTATTTTCGTGCACAATTTACTCCACTACCCCATATTTTCCTTCAAACTTCTATCCTCTTCTAAGCCGCCGCAATGGCCACGTCAGCGCCAGCGATTCCAGACATTGGCCAGGCAGTGGAAGATCTCTCCGCTCGAGTCGCCGCGGAGATTAACGGCGGCGCCGATTCCGCCGATTCCGCCTCCGCGGAAGCCGCCGCCGCCGCTGCGTCCGCTGCGGCGGGGCCTCCCGCGGTGGACGAGATCGAGAGCCTGTGCATGCGGTGCCACGAGCAGGGCACGACGCGGCTCCTGCTGACACGTGTCCCGCACTTTCGGGAGCTCGTCATCATGGCGTTCGAGTGCCCGCATTGCAACGAGTCCAACAACGAGGTACAGTTCGCCGGGTCGTTACAACCCACCGGCGTACGGTACTCCCTTTCCGTACCAGTCTCTGCGGAAGGAGCCGAGGAAACCACCGACTCCCACGAGGCGCTGATGAACCGACAAGTGGTGAAATCCGATTCGGCGACGATCCGCATTCCGGAGATCGACTTCGAGATTCCCCCCGAGTCGCAGCGCGGCACGCTCACCACCGTGGAGGGCGTCTTGACCCGCGCGCACGATGGACTCGGCGCGCTGCAGGCGGAGCGACGCGCGGCGGACGCCGCCGTCGCCGCCGCAATCGACGAATTTCTCGCGAAATTGAAATCCTGCATCGACGGCTCACGCTCGTTCACGCTCGTGCTAGACGATCCGTCGGGTAACAGTTACGTCGAGAACCCGCGCGCTCCGGAACCCGATCCGATCTTGAAGGTTGAGCATTACGAGCGAACGGCGGAGCAAAACGAGAAGCTAGGCTTTCTCTCGGCTCCTGCAGACGGGGGGGAAGGCGGGGAAGCGGGGGGGGCGGGGGACGGCGCAGCGGGGGATCTTACGAAGCTTCCGCACGGGTCGGTGGGTGCCGAGCTGGCGTACCGCGCAATTGCCGGCGGGAATAACGCGGACCTGGCGAGTAACGCGCTGCTGTGCGGATACTCCGCGCCCGAGGAGGTGATGGTGTTCCCCGCCACGTGCAGCGCGTGTGGCGCTAGCGGCACGGCGAGCGGCGCGGAGAGTGGCGCGAGTGGGGACACGGGGAAGGGGGACAGAGGAAAGGGGGACGCGGAGGGAGGAACTGATGGTGGAGCGGAAGGGGGAGCAGCGGACGTGGACGAGGTGTGCGTGACGCGCATGTTCGCGACGCGGATTCCGTATTTCAAGGACGTCATTCTGATGTCCACGTCATGCGACGCGTGCGGGTATAAAAACTCCGAGTTAAAAGCCGCTGGCGGCGTGGCGCCCAAGGGACTCAAAATCACCCTAACGGTCCGCAACCAGAAGGACCTATCCCGCGATATAATCAAAGCCGAATCCGCCGCGGTGTATATCCCTGAGATTGAATTAGAACTAGGCGCGGGGACTCTAGGCGGACGGGTGACTACAGTGGAGGGGCTTGTAACGGAAATCGCGGACAGCTTGAAACGGATCCGGCCGTTTGAGATCGGAGACAGCGCGCCTGAGTGGCAGCGGAGCAAATGGCAGGATTTGGATAGGCAGCTGCGCGCGCTGGCTGCTGGTGAACCTGTGAGCGTGAAACGTAACAGGCCTACCGTCGCTGCTGCTGGTGCTGCTGGTGACGCTGCTGCTGGTGCTGCTGGGGTCGAGAATGGGTCTGGAGCAGAAGGGAAGTTGGAGAACGACAAGGGAGAATCTGGGGAGGAAGGGAGGGTGGAGGAAGGTGATGGGGAGATGGAGGAGTTGTCGGAGTGGCATTTGGTGCTGGACGACGCGTTGGCGAACTCGTTCGTGTCGTTTGTGGGCGAGCGACTGGAGGACGATGGGCAGGTGCGGGTGGAGGAGTATGTGCGGTCGTGGGAGCAGGATGAGGAGCTTGGGCTGCATGACATGCGGACAGGCGAGCAGCAGGGTGAGCTGGCAGCAATCCAGGAGTGACTGGCAGCGGGTTAAGGGATGATGGGCAGGCGCAGGCGGAGGAGTACGTGCGGTCGTGGGAGCAGGACGAGGAGCTGGGGCTGCATGACATGCACACAAGGGAGGAGCAGGGACGCGGTGGGATGTAAAGGAATATGTCGTAAAAGTAAGGCCTGCCTTGATCATGGCAAGCATATGGAAGCGAGGCCATGGGAATGGGAGTGAAGAGGGGAAGGATGGGAAGACTGGGTTGCATTGCAGGAATGCAGGATATGTATTGGTTGATAGGTACTCTTTAAAATGCAGGCGCTCTTGTGGTGCTCTGGCCTGGTGGGGCCCAATCGTTAGTTTTAATTGACTGATGAGTCGGTAGCAGCGCAGGATTGTTAGAACGTGTTCCTACGTCCTCATATCAGGCCAACCTCGTACACATGATGCCCAACCACTGCGCGCGAATTTGCCTTGCACTTTTCAGAAACTCTGCACCCGTGCTTTTTTTCCCGCTCAGTTGCACCCAGGGTATAGGCACGCGGATCAACTTGCATTTGGGCGAGAAAACGCCAAAGTATGAATCTTAGGCGCAAAACAAACCATGCTGACCCGGTTTGTTCTTGTTTCTTGGCCAGAAACGAGCATAAACCCTAAACCCTGAACTAACAACAACACAGGCCCACCAGCACTGTTTTGGAAAAAACAAACGAGTTACAACCTGTGTTTTTTAAAAGCACCTCAACACCCTGGCGAAATGGAACGAACTGGGCGAAACGCCCAAAACGTTTATAAGCCCAGAGCACAAGCAAAGTAGGGGGGACTCAAACGGGCATCAGGTGTATCAGACTCGCACAGCAGGGCCTGTGCTAGGATTTAGGGCACCCTGAGCCCTCAGGGTAACTTTTGAAAAATCTCCAAAATGCCCTGATTTTTCAGGGCAAAATTCCCTGGCCATCCTGAAATTTCAGGGCACCAGCAGAAATTCATCCGGATGATTCAGGGCAAAAGATACAAGGCACTAGAGAGGATGGAGGGGAAGGCACGAAAGGAGCAGGTTGTTCACCGGTTTCACTTCTACCGGACTACTGGCTGAGCAAAAATATTGGTGGGGGAGGGGTGGGGACAAAACTAGCACACACACCCCCCAGCCTCCTTCCTCCCCTCTCCCCCTCTCCCCCCTCCACCCCTTCTCCCCTTCCCACGAGCCAGGGCATCCCTCTACATTCACCCTAACGCTTCAGGGCAAAATTTCACTGCCATTCTGAAATTTCAGGGCAAAACACATGGATCATCCTGACGTCACAGGGTAAATTTCAGCGTCATTCTGAAATTTCAGGGCAAACTTAAAACACCATCCTGAAATCAGGGTAATCAGGATGTTTTGCCCTGATATCGTGGGCCCTGTCGCACAGAACACTTCAATCTCGGTTTAATTTGATTGTTTATTGGCTGTTTCCTGGTTTGGTGTGCGACAGAAAATGAAGGGTGATTCTCGCATGCTTGAACCCGACAAATCAAGACTGTTTCGTAGTCAATCGGGATTGCTGACAAATCACGCGACAAAGATTGCGTGTGGTTTGCTACGTCAGAAGTATATGACTCGGCCCACTGGTATCTATGCCACAAGCATGTTTCCGATGTGGCTCGCTACATCAGAAGTATATGACTCGGCCTTGCCCGAGTAGGGCCTCAGATTCGTTTTTTCCTAGGCTGATACGTCAGCCTTACCAGGCTATGCTAGGCTGATCAATCATTGTTGTTCCAAAAAAAAAAGCTGAAATTTCAGACTATGTGAATCAAGAAAACAGGAATGAAATGACTAAGTGAAAGTTGGGTACAAAAGGCAAACCCTAGGCAACTGTACCCCATATGTGCTACCCCACTATAGCCTACAGTAGCTATGTCATATAACTCTGACACACCCCCATAGGCAAAGTGGGGGAGAACAAGGGGTCACAAGACCAGTCAAGCAAAGCAAAGCAAGCTCAGGGTGGATCACAAAGTCACCACACATTCCGAGCACAAGTTCAAGGCCACAAGGCCAGTTCACATGCAGGATTACATATATATATAAGGCTAGACAAGCAAGAGCAGGAGTATATATATATGCAACAGTACAAACAAGGTCAAGAGGTGAGCAAGTGAGGCAAGGTAGGTACAAGACCCAGCTGAGTACAGAAGCGCTGATGATCACAAGGCGCAAGTGCCTTGGTGAAGATATCAGCAGTGTTGGCCTCAGAGGCCACGTACGCAAGTCGCAGCTGACCACGCTGCTGTAGCTCACGAGCAAGGAAGTAGCGAAGAGCAATGTGCTTCGTTCTGTGCTCCAGTCTCTGCTCTCGACACAAGGCCAGCATGGCCTTGTTGTCTACGTAGAGCACTGGAGGAGAACGAGGCGGCTCTCCGAGGTCAGTCAGCAGGTAGGTGAGCCAGCGAAGCTCCTGTGCAGCCATGGCCCCGGCGTAGATCTCAGCCTCACAACTGGAGCCGAGAACAGAAGACGAGCGAGTAGCCCGCCACGAAACAGAGCCGGAACCAAGGCTGAAGGTGTAACCCTGTGACGACCGCTGCGTAGCCTGGTCGTCAGCCCAAGAAGCGTCTGCGTGTCCAGTGAGGACCACTGGACTCTGCCCTCCAAGCACAAGCCCCATGCCCGACGTACTGCACAAGTAGCGCAACACCCTCTTCGCTGCAGCCATGTGCTCCGGTCTGTGTCTCCCAGGAGCAACATAGCGTGCAAGAATGCTAAGAGAGTATGCAAGGTCAGGTCGTGTGCAGGTCATCAGGTACATGAGGCAGCCAACAAGCTCTGGGTACGGGCCACTCGACTCTACGGACTCATCCGAAGGCAGAGCTGAGAGCGAGTGGCGAGTAGGCAGAGGAGTGGCCTGAGGCGAGGAGTACGTGAAGCCGAAGCGCTGAAGGACCTGCTGCACCATGTGTGACTGAGTCAGGGTAATGGTGCGGCGTGCTCTGTCCCGGGTGATCTGCAAGCCAAGGTAGCTGCACAGTTCACCCAGGTCTGTGCACGTGTGTCTCTTCTGCAGCTCGGACTTCACGTGGGCGAGTCCAGCAGTGTCAGCTGTGGCAAAGACCAAGTCGTCGACGTACACGAGGATGTAGAACGGCTGCAAAGAAGTGTCGGTGCGCAGAAACAGCGACGGGTCGGCAGTAGAGGGAGCAAACCCAAGAGCCGCAAGTGTAGTCCTCAGTGTGTCATGCCACTCACGCGGTGCCTGGCGGAGACCGTAGACTGGCCGCCGGAGGCTCCACTGGGTGCCAGGAGGAAAAGACCCAGTGAAGCCAGGTGGGCGACGCAGCCAGATCTCCTCGTGCAGGCTGCCCTGCAAGAAAGCAGTGCTGAAGTCAAGAGAGTGCAGCTCGTAGTCGCGGTGAGCAGCTATGTGCAGCAGTACCCGAAGAGTGGTCATCTTCGGGGTGGGAGAGAAGGTCTGAAAGTAGTCAACTCCCTGCCGCTGACTGAAGCCACGAGCCACGTAACGCGCCTTGAAGACAGGCGGAGAACCCGGCGGCCGCTTCACCCTGAAAATCCACATGCCACTGACGATGTTCGCCCCAGGCGGGGGAACCTCGTCAACGTTTGTGCCTGTGGACTTCCAGGAAGCCATCTCTGCGTCCATAGCTGCCTGCCACTGAGAGGAGTAGGGACCCTCTATCGCCTCCGCGTAAGAGCGCGGAGTCGGGATGTCAAGTGCATCCGGGTCTCCCTCAGGGGTAAGCAGTACGGACACGAGATGAGGTGAAGCAGCAGCCAAACACTGGAACTCCTCCTGCCTGTCCTCAAGGACGTCCGTGCCAAGGGCACACTCACCCCCGACGGACGGAGGACAGACAGACTCAGACTCAGCAACAAGACTAGCAGCGTAGTCTAGACGACAGCGAGGAGCAAAGTCGACGAGCTCAGTAACTAGGGCAGACGCAGCAGTGGACTCAAAGGAAGGGTCAGTGACAACAGTAGCAAGGAGACGCGTGACAGTAGGACTGGCAGCACGAAGAGAGTCCGACTCCGGGTCAGGAAGAGCAGGAAGAGAGGACTCAGGAGGAGAAGGCAAAGGGGCACGCAGAGGAGCAGTGGACGGACGCAGAGACATCCGGTGCGTGCCAGGGACAGGAGGAGGACGCTGACGCGAACCACGAGCACTAGTGCGAGCAGCACGGACAGGCGACGCAGGGCGAGACGCAGGCTCACGACGCTCAGCAAGACCTCCAGTAGGACCAGTGTAGGGAGAAGGAGCGGGCAGTGGGGAGGCCGGCTGTAACTGTAACTGTGACGGGACAGGCTGTGGACACGCTAAGGGAGGAGGAGGACCAGTAGAAGGCGGGAGACCAAGAACCTGCTGAAGGAGCGGAACGAAGTACGGCCGAGGCCGCGCGGCGACTCCAGACACAGCAGGGACAGCACCAGTACCCCCAGCGGCAGCACCAGCGCCAGCAGCACCTCCAGCTCCAGTACCTCCAGCAGCACCAGTAGCACCCCCAGCAGGACCGCCTCCAGGACCGACAGCAGTAGCCTCAGCGCCAACACCCTCAGCAGCTCCAGCTCCAGTCGTACCCGCAGGCCCAGCAGCTCCAGTACTCCCAGTACGAGCACCTTCGGGACCCGCGGCACCAGCACCCTCAGCAGCCGAAGAACCTCCAGCTCCAGCAGCACGCCTCCAGCGCCGGGCAAACCACTCGCGCAGCTCCTGTGGAGAGAGTGGCTCCCGCCGAGACGAAGCACCCGGAGAACCTCCAGGCTCAGCACCGCCAGACGCCACACGAGCAGGCCCAGCTCCCTCAGGCTCCGCACCCCCAGGCTCAGCACCTCCAGGCGTAGCACCCCCAGGCGTAGCACTCCCAGGCTCAGCACCCCCAGGCTCAGCACCCCCAGTAGTAGCACCCCCAGGCTCAGCACCCTCAGGCTCAGCACCCCCAGTAGTAGCACCCTCAGGCTCAGCACCCCCAGGCGTAGCACCCACACGCTCAGCACCCCCAGAGTCAGCACCCCCAGGCTCAGCACCCTCAGCAGC